AAAAAAAAAAAGAACACAGCAGATGGTGATGGGTTTGAGGTCTTGAATCTTAGGATGGTCATGCCCCGCTCAGTCCCTTCAGTAAGATTTGTGGCCCCCTCGCAGCTCCCTTTATCCTTTAAAATCTGACCAACACAGCAGGGTTTATCGGCTCTAAATTTTACAAACGTTGATTAATAGAAAAGGGAAGGAAAACGGTGATAGAATCTTTTTACCAAAATTACGTTTTTAAAAGCGTTCAGTATTAGCTCCAAGAAAAGCATTTCATCTCTGGAGCCTTGCTGGTGGGAGTCAGGGAGCCTGAGCTGGAACAGCCATTTGCCAGCTGGCTCCACATTTGTGCATGCAGAAAGAAACTGTGAAGCAAGGCTACTGTTCCATCTAGTGCCCTCTTCCCTTCCCACTGAAACCAGAGAAGTTTAATTAACTGTATACAATTTAAAAAATTGTTCTTAAGTTTATTTTTAAGAGAGAGAGAGAGAGAGAGCGAGTGAGCATGGGAAAGGGACAGAGAGAGAGGCAGATGGAGAATGTGAAGCAGGTTCCACGCTATCAGCCCAGAGCCCGATGCAGGGCTCAAACTCACCAACCACGAGATCATGACCCGAGCTGAAATCAAGAGTTGGACGCTTAACCAACTGAGCCACCCAGGCGCCCCTAACTGTATACAATTTTAAAGAAATTACCCAAATGTACATGAACAATTTCCTAATATGCTTAGTTAATGCAGCACATAAGAACTAAGTATAAGAGGCTCTCTCTTTTTAGAACTTTAGATTCCTATTGTCAGATACATTCGGCTTTATATCATCATCTTCCCTTTTGGTTTTCATTTTATTTTAAATGTTGCATTAACTAATATATATATATATGTGTGTCTCTCTGTGTGTGTGTGTGTGTGTGTGTGTGTGTGTGTGTGTGTGTGCATGTATGTGTTTATCCTTATCCAAAAGTAGAGCATTCCTATGAAAACTTTCATAAACCGAAATGGCATAAAGCAAAGAAGCAATTACCATTCATCTACATGGAAAATTTTTTTAGTGTTCCCAGTCCCAAAATTTAACCTCTCTTAGGCTTCTCTGATACCTTAAGACACATCTTACTAAGTGATGTACAAAATAAATGAAGATAAAGCAGAGATGCTCACAGACACAGTTCAAAGCTGAGGCAGCTTGATACTGAGATGCTGAGTGAAGTTCCCCCGTGGGAAGGAGCTTGGTGGGCCCCCCTTCTCTGCTCTGGGTACACACTGCCTCTATAAGGCTCACTGCAAGGTAAACGCTAAATGCTATCCTCTCTTTTTGCATATAAGCAAAATTCTTCTTCAGGTACCTTTAGGTTAGCAAAAACAGATAGTAATGCAAGGCTTTCATGCAAGTGAAGTGGCGTAACATGAACTTTTGAAAAGTGGGGGATATCACTCTCTCTCTCTCTCTCCTATCTATCTATGTATCTATCTCTCTACTCTCTCTATATCTTCAGTAGTCCTGAATCTCAGGGAAAAAGATGTTAATACTTAGGATTACAATCTCAACAGAAGATCTTTGGTGTGTTTTGTTCAAATACTGACAATAACTCTGTATAGTGAACATAGTTCTCTTTCTTGAGAATAAGGAAACTTAGATATATTCCTCATAATAATCCTTCTCCAAACCATAAAGCACACACTCAAAAGCATAAAAACAACACAATTTTTCAGTCTACAATTTCCTGTTGTAGTTTAACATGGTGGCTATGTATTTTTTAAGACCTTATTAGGGTAACCAAGCAGACAGAACTAACTGCCCTTCATGATCTAGTTGCCAACCAGAAGGAAAATGAAATTCTAGTGGTCTTTGGAGCTACTAACTCAGTGGTACAAAATTTTTAAAGAGCTAAAAATTGCAGTACAGTTTACCATAATGTTTGATATAATCCTATTAACTTAAATCTGGAATAAGAACAGAATTTCTAGCCCAGATAGCTGTTCTATATTCAATCAAGTACAGCATAGTTATCATTGGACTGATATTAACTAAACACATTTGTTGGAAAGCTATCTATAAAGAATAGCAGATCCTTTATAGACCTTAAATCCAATGTTACAGCATGATTTTGCTAGCTATTTATTTTGCAATAAAGAAGGCAAAATATGTTTTAACATTTCAAACTTCTTGGAAAAGATAAGCAACAAATTGCTATAAAACTACAAATTGGTAAATAGTACAATTAAAAATTTAGAAAACTTCATATCTATTTTTCTAATATATATGTTAAAAACACATATCTATATATATTAGAAATTGAAATTCTAATATATATCTAGCTAAATATATACATATATGTATGTATATATATACATATATGTATATATTAGCAATTGAAATTGAACTTTAAATATCCCTTTTGGAAACGTCCAGAATGTCTGGCAAAAACACATCTCATTGTAGCACATTAACATTATCTCTTTGTGCATGTTTCTGCTAATGTAGTAAATTTGGCTCCCAAATTATTTAAAAAGTCAAGGCCATCTTCTTCCTGTTTTTCGCTGCAGCACCCTACAGAACCAGCTGGAGATCCCTTTCCTTCATAGTTATACGTAAGGACATAATCTTGAGATGGCACATGGTTTTCATTCTGATTACACAGATGCAATTTCTGTAAAATAAACAAACAAAAAAAAAGGATTGTATTGTTGTATTATTTTAAGTATTCTTAAACATATGAACATAAAATTTATTATTTTATTTACCTTTTATGTCTAATTTTTAACCAGTGTGTCCTCTAATGGAGTCCTACATACAAAAAATGCACATGATTGGTCGATATCACAACCATACCATAAAGTCAGTATATCTTACATTTCTAGTAATCCATACAAATAAAAAAAAATTATATATATACAAATGTTATATTTATGTATATTTAAATTATCATTAAATGCTTAACTCTAAACTTTCTATCTGGAGTTCAGGCTAGTCCACAAAACGGTGACACTATGCGCGGTGGCCTAGAATTTGACGTTGGATGTCGGAACAGTCCGGGTTTTGAGTCCCAGCTCTGGCTGTACCAGCTACGTGTGTGACTTTGAGCAGGTCACTAAACATCTCTCAGTCTCACTTCTCACTCTCTTTACATCTAAAATGGGAATATACACAGTGACTATCTCACGATAATGATGAAATAATAGCGCATGAAAAATACTCTTCCTTCGCCCAGCACATAGTAAATACTCAAAAAACATTAACTAAAACCACTACTACATGCAGTTTTAAAGTAGGCAAGAATTATCACATTGGTTTCAGAATGACGTTTTCCGAGATAGCCAAAACATGACAAAATAGAGAGATGCGCAAGACATTTTAGTGAAATTAAAAATACTCAACATAACCCGGATTGCAAAAACCAGCCCTTTGCACTGGAGAGGCCATGCATTCAGCCACATCCACCCTCACAGTCTGTTACTGGCCAGCTTGTCTAACCCCCCGGCTCCTCCTCCTCACCTGTGTGCCCCCGCCTCTCTAACCCAGAGCTTATTTCCTTGGCTTATGTTATCAAGTGTCTTTCTTCATGACCACTTTAGCCTCGTATCCCATTATGTGATGTGCACATTAAAGAACACCCCTAGGAGTGCTTCTTAAGCTTCACTCCTTCCCAGCCTGATCTTACATGAATACTGACTGTCTAGAAACAGAAAAGAGATTAACACTTGAATTTGACGGGAAAAAATATGCTATGGACATGCGATAAGCTATAGCCGCGTCACAGAAAGGTGCCTAGTTGCAATCCATTAAAGGATTAAGGGCTTCTGGTCCACTGTTGGTGTTACAATGGTACTGGCACACTCTGATAAAAAGAAAACTTAGTACCAGGAAGAATATTCAATCCAGTGGTTCTCTACCCAGGTGGCACATGTGAATTGCCTGAGGAGTTTAAAAAATAATAATACTAGGGCCGCCTGGGTGGCTTAGTCAGTTAAGTGTGTGACTTGGGCTCAGGTCATGATCTCCCATCTCATGGGTTCCAGTCCCACATTGGACTCTGTACTGACAGCTCAGAGCCTGCAGCCTGCTTCAGATTCTGTGTCTCCCTCTCTCTCTGCCCCTCCCCCACCCTCAAAAATAAATACAAATTTAAAATAATAATAATAATAATAATAAGCCAAACCAATTAAATCCAAATCCTTCAAGGTGGAGCACAGGCATTAATATCTTTTAAAAGCTCCAGGGGGATTTTGATGTGCTCCCAGGACTCAAAAATCATGATTTAATCCCTCCTTTGTTTTACATCCTTGCTGTCCCCTGAATAAAAATGTTTTATATATGAATGGTGCTTTTTACATTAAATATAGTTTATACAGCTCATATTATTTAATGTTCATCCTAGAATTGTGTGCAGATGTTTTGTTTTCAGAGAGAGATGTAGATTTGATTGGGGGAGTTTTTTGATTGTAGGGAGTAAGATTTTTTTTTCACGTTCTTCCATATGAAAATAATTCGTGAGGTAAACTACATCTAGAAGTGGCATGTGGCTTTAGATTGGATATTAGAAACTTCCAGATCTCATGAGATTTTAGAAATTAAAAGAAATATGATAGATGGAATAAAATCTCTTTTATGTTAAATAATGTAACAAAATCAAAGGGCATGGGGGTGGGGAGGCGTGGAGGAGGGCAGTGCTGGGAAGGACCAGAGAATGAAAGAGAAAAGATACGTTGAAAAGATACATAGGGAAAAGCAACTTCTGCAACTGTGTGCTAATTTCAATTTCCTCTTGTTCTACACTTGGATATTTAAACCGTAGAATGGAAACGCTGAGGGAAACTCACTTCACCAAGGCGGGGCTGGGTGAAATTATGCCACTCGGAGTAGGTGTGTCTGCAGGTGTCCGTCTCCACGTGTCCTCCCCTGCAGGAATCCAGGGTGTGATGATGCCCCGTCCCCCGGCACGATTCCAGGGTCTGGTGTCCGCCTTTCACCATTTCAATGGTCTCCTGCCCTCCGTTCTTCATTCCTGATCCTATGGTACCGCAAAAGCCTTGGCCAGAGTTAGTGACTGTCTGGGTCATAAACCCATTGGCAGAACACTGAAATAAAATAAAATAAGACCATTTGTATCAGGAGGAAATGGATCCCAAGTGATAAGAAGGCAAGGGAGAGAGAATGTTTATTCAACGTTTTATTGATTCATCCGTTCATTAACAGACATTTGTATTTTCTAATTGTGTGCCCAGTCTAGGGATACAAAGATGGGCATGATCCCTCACCAGCTCTAAGATTCTCTTATTCCAGTGAGGCAGAAAAATCAGATGATCACTTTAAGAATGTATATGTAGGTGAATGCAGAATGCTATAGGAACACTGAGGAACACATTAAAATCCACATCCAGAGAGAGAAAGTGGAGAAGACTGAGAGTAGGGGCTCCGACTGAGAAATGGGAGGAAACAACCACCACCTGCAGGAAGGTCTACAGGCAAAGGCAACAGGGTGCTCTGGGGGTCTTCAGCTTCAGCCTGTTGAGAGTGGCTGCCACATAGGGTTCAGGGTAAGAGAGGAAGTGGAGAGGTTATAAAAGGCCAGAGAATATAAAGAACCATATGCCATGCTAAAAAAATATAGACTATCATGAAGATTACGGAGACTCAAAGAAGGGTTTTAATAGACAGGCAAGGCACATATTTTTAAAAAGTCATTCTAGGCAATAATGTAAAAGACAAATAAGGAGACAATAAGTTGAGTGTCACAGATATCAGAGAGATATCACAGATATCACCTGAAGCATTCTAGGTGAAACATGATAAGGATCTAAGCCAAAATAGAAGCAAAGATGACTCACAGTGGCTGGACCCCATACAAAGTTTACTGACAGTTAGATGGATGAAGCAGCAAATGGAAGGAATTATTCCTATGTGCTCTGCTTGTGCAACTCCAGATGGCATAATTCCCTGAAGTTGGGATGAAGGATGTGTTTGTGGGTGAGAGGAGGGGGAACAATTCAATTTGGGGCATGGTAAGTTTAAGAAACCTGTGGATGTCCACAATGCATATATGAATATGGGGTCTGGAGCTCAGGTAGGGGAGCTGAGCTGACGCTATAATTCCAGAAGTCACCACCATATAGGTGGTAGTTGAAGTCACAGGGATAAATTATAACACCCAGGGAAAATGGTAGACTAAACAAAAAGAACGCTAATAACAGAACACAAGAACAAATGTTTTAAGGGGTTGGTAAAGGAATTAGAAGACAGAACTGATCTGAAATAGCAACTGAGAGAATGAAGGAATCCAAAAGTCAAACTCTGAAGCCATGCAGAGAGGATTATGGTAAGGAGAAAACATCAAAGTTGTTTAAGAACTGGTCCAAGTAAAGTAATCACCTCTCAGATTCAAGTAAAAGACTGGCCACTGGTGATCTGTGTCAAAAGAATTTCCACGAAGTGCTGAATGAACAGGAACTAATGTCATGGAGAAATCGAGTATTAAATCTCTCAAAGAGTTCAGTTTCAAAGAGAAAGAGACATGGAGGGAACTAGAGCAGACAGAGTTGAGGGAATGTTTGAAGATGAAAAAGACTTGATTCAACAGTAACTTAATGCTGGAACCTCAGTTGGAAGTCTGGGCCATGGGTGAGAAGTCGAGTTACTGTGGCAACCTCAGGGTGTCAGTTCTAATTATAAACTGTTACTTTCAGACAAGACCTCCATTAAAATCAGGCTCCGTTGTGCCATCTTCTTGCCAATTTGGTTTTCTTCTATTGAATATGCAGAGTCTCTAACTAAACTGGAAGATTTTCAAGTTCAGATGATTTGGAATTTCAGATATTTCAGAGTCTGAAATGTATCTATAAATGTCATACATAGTATCTCATTGCCTTGGAAAATTATACCAGAAAGGAGAACTAAAAAGTAGCCATTTGGTGGCGCTGCTGCCCTATATTTTTTGCTTAGGTTGCTGCCACCTTGAAATTCTATTTAAAAAAAAAAAATCCTGATTATCAAATCTCCTTGATGGTATAATTTTTGTCATTATAAATACATGTTCAGAGATCACGCAAGCTAATACCGGGAGACTTGAAGATAAACTAAAACCAAAGCTGAGTCCACAGTTCCTTGTTTCACATTCTATTCTCTGTTCCTTCCTGACCATCTCCAGGTGCTCTGCCCAAAGTTTATTCTCACATGGTATCAACAGCTCCTTTTCCACGTCAATGATTTCCAGATTTAACTTCTCCAGTCCTGACTTTTCAACCAGCTCCTAACCCCATCGGAACTGCCTCTGACTTAAACTTAGCTCGAAAAGTAACATCATCTTTACTCATTGTACTAAAATGAGCTTACCCATTCACTACAAAGTTCTGTTACATTTAAAAAAAATTTTTTTTTAATTTTTTATTTATTTTTGAAAGAGACAGAGTGTGAGTGGGGAGGGGCAGAGAGAGAGAGAGGGAGACACAGAATCTGAAGCAGGCTCTGGGCTATAAGCGGTCAGCACAGAGCCCGACACGGGGCTCGAACTCAGAAACTGCGAGACCCTGACCTGAGCTGAAGTCAGATGCTTAACCGACTGAGCCACCCAGGCGCCCCTGTTACATTTTGCAAAAATATGCCTAAAATTATATTCTGGTATAAATTAATAATCCCAAGTCCTTCTGAGAAGTGCTCCTAACAGAGAACAGGTAAATAGGTGTGAGTATGTTATGGTGAAATGGCCAATTAATACCATCAGCTCCAGCATCAAATGGTAAAGAACAAATATGAAGAACATCTCAATCATTCCATTCTCAGATATAAAATAAGATCTTACTTTGAGCCAAGGGACTATCAGGGACTAAATGGATTTTCTGAATGGAAAAATAATTACAGGGCTCCACATGGAGGCATGTCAAGCACAGGAGGGCTATGACTTTGCATGATGGTGGGAGGAGGTTAAAAAGAGAAAGTCAGTAAGAAAGGTATCTTTGACATATCAAAGGCTTGATATGAAGTCACTGTCCCTGGCTATGGCCTCTGTCACTTTGGCTTCACTTTTTATTTTGTTACTCTAAAGTTAATAAGCTATCATTTACATATTTGAAATACTGATTATCCTTATTTTAATTTTCCAGTTATCATTAGACTACTAGAGTTATCTCCTGCTTAAACTATAGCAAGATTCTAACCCTTGAACTTCCCCATCCTTAGTGTCTTCCTGTTCTCACTGATCACCCTACTGACTCAGCATCATGCTGTTCCCATTATGCCAATCTATGCAGAAAAACTTTCACTGGCCCTTCCTTTCCAAGAAGATAAACCCCAAATCCTTAGTGTGGCATATGATAGCCCCATCTCTTACATCCTCTCCCCCAAAACCCTAAGTTTCAAGCTTCTATTCTAAAACACCATTTCTTCCATCTCAAAACAACTTCTTTACTATTTGTTGAGTAATCCCTAAACTTTGTCATCCCCTTTTTCATTCCTTATTTTTTAATTTCATGTTTATTTCTTTTGAGAGAGAGAGAGAGAGAGAGAGTGAGTGGGGAAGGGGTAGAAAGTGGGGGAGACAGAGAATCCCAAGCAGGCTTTGCGCTGCACAGAGCCCAAGGCAGGGCTCAAACTCATTAACTGCAAGATCATGACCTGAGCTGAAATCAAGACTCAACCAACTGAGGCACCCGGGCGCCCCTCCTGTTTTATTCTTAAGGCTGTTTTCCTCCTCTTTAACTATTCCCACAATCTCTCCACTTTCAACCCCTTCTTACTCTTTCAGCTACAGAGTGATCTGTACATCTTTCACCAGGCCCTTCAGGTTGATCCAGACAACACGAATGCACTTATGTATCACAAGTGTCTTTGAACTAACAGTGCTCTGTCATGGTGCTAATGTTTACTGAAATGTTTCTACTTATTTTTCCCATAGAAGTAGATTCAACTGCTCACAAGTACATTGAAATCTTTTTGAGGGAAAAATATGCCTTGTAAGAACTCTTGAAATATATGCGCCCCCACCCCCAAAGAAGAAGCCTAGTACTAAGCACCTCAGCAGTCCCAAGAAATACATAAGGAAAGAAAGTGGCAATAATCTTCCAAGTAATCTACCCTCCACCATATAAAAATATATATCTCTTTGGTATTTTCTTAATTTATCATCAGAACTTTTAGTAGGTTTTTCCCCCATTATATATGATCAAAGAGAGAAACAAATGATATCTGGAAATGTACATGGTACAGAGCAGCTGAAACACTGTTATTATAATAAATCCACATCAAAAAGTTTTAAATCATAGCACTAGAGGGTGGAAAAATGATAATTAAAACAACACATGTCTTTTTGTAATTTTTTTTCAATGTTTTATTTATTCTTAAGAGAGACAGAAACAGAGCATGAATGAATGAGGGGCAGAATGAGAGAGAAACACAGAATCCAAAGCAGGCTCTAAGCTCCGAGCTGTCAGCACAGAGCCCGATGCGGGGCTTGAACTCACAAGCCATGGGATCATGACCTGAACCGAAGTCAGACACAACTGACTGAGCCACCCAGGCACCCCAAAACAACACATGTTTTAAGAATTCTAATAAATGCCACTACACAAATATCTGAATATCGGCAGATAAAATACTTATGCCTACAAAATCTGACCAAATTAAAAATATAAGTTAACCCCTAAATTTCAAAATAACTTCAGGAGAATCAGTAAAAGAAATTATGGGAGATATTCAGAGATACTCATTTAAAACACTTACCACCTTATCATCTCCAGGTGCTTCTGTGTTTGATATGATTAAGTTTTGCTGTGCTAAATCTTCAGGAAAACCTTTTCTTTTTTTGGCACCAAAAACTCCACATACCAAAGTTAGCAATACAGCTGCATTTAAAAAAAAAAAAAA